GGCGGCACCGGCCCGGGCGGGGGTCTCCTTCGGCGACGGCGCCTGGGTGGCAGGAGCCGGGCAGCAGCTGGAAAATGGCCATGGGAAGCAGGGAGGGAAGGGGATTAGCGATAGTGTTCGCAAGGAGAGGAGCGGGAGCACGAAAAGGAGGAAAAGGAACCGGAGGGAATGAGAGCAGAGGAAGCAAACGGGGCTGCAGACCCCTGAGGTAAGCAGGCCCCTTAGTCCTCCCTCGGCGTAGGGAGCAGAAAGAAGAGTTTGAGCTGCCAGCTGGCCACACGTTTAGTTTAACATAAAAACGGAAGGTGATGGTTTTTAATGGGTAGAGTTTGGTGTCACATAGAAGGAATAGGGAGCAGCTCTCAGGCCTGTGGATTTTGAGCCATAGGCCATTGCTTTTGCTTTTAACAGCTCCATTTACAATTCAGTTCAAGTTTCTGGTATTCCTGTGGTTATCCCTGACCTAGTGCAGGACACGAATGGAGAGTTCTCTGCTGGCATCCCGTTTTGAAGACACCAAGGCTGTGCTCTGTGTCCCTTTCTGCAAGGTCCACCCCGCAGAAACAAGGTGTGCAGAGGAACAAACTGTTGCCCTTGCAGTCATTACACAGCAGCTGTCGAAAACGTCACATTTGAAAAAAGTTCAAAGATCGAGTCCAATAGTAGGCTGCATTAGGAGCTGGTAGAGAACTAGATGGTTCATGGTTTTTCTTTAACCCCTATTCATGTGTGGGGTATTGATGGTGACAGAGGGGCACATGCAAGCACACCTTTGTCACATTGTATTACTGTACTTTATAGTGTGTAATTACCAGCTCCTTTGTAAAATGCTGTGCAATTTGTGAGTGAAAAGCTTTATTATACTGTTAGAGTACACAGATATTTATTGTAAGTAGTCATGTTATAATTCTGTGGTTAGGCCCTTTCTTGGAGGTAGCCTGGAATTTGCTTTCCATTAGTAATTATTAAAACCCAAAGGAGCAAAGTTTTTTAGTTAGACACCGTGATTTGTAGTTCAAAAGAAGTGTGGGCATGCGTAGAGCACTGAATGCTCCAATGTAGACTTGTTTCTTGGAATCTCCAAATGATATGAATGGTGTCAGTGGAAGAGTATGACCAAAACTTTTTCCCAGCGTGAATAAGATACCTAATGAACAGCCTTTCTGTTGCTGGCATGAATTCCTATTACAACACTTTTGCTAGTTGATTTCTGACTGGTTAGCAATATAACAGACCAGGAACGTGAACACAAAGACTAAATCTGTCCCAAGATCCTTGCGTGACTTTTTATAATCTATTTCTGTCCCTTATCTTTAATTACATGCTTGTGGACAGTTGCTATCAATGCATTTATGAGTGCTGACATCTAGTGTTCTAACGTTGGTAACTCTTTGATTTTTTTTGTTTAATTCTGCTGTTTACAATTTTGTGTGAGTTTAGCCATACTCTTGCAAAAGTAATCTAAACAGCTTTGTAGGCTATGTCTTTCTTTATCTGCAGGGTGGGTACAGTGGATAAACCACTACAGGCAAAAGTGGTTCCACCAGCAGCACTTTTACTGACCTGCCAAAATGTTGTGAGCGGTGCAGTTGCAAGCTAATGTGCAAGGTGATTTAACTGAGATGCTTCTCTCAGATTTGTGATATCTCTTTCTAGTTCTCTGCCTTGCAAACCATGCAT